CATGAGGATGTGGGCACAGCCTCTGTGTGTGTGTGAAGGGGACAGTGTCCCTGCTGTCTGTTCTGTGAGGTCCATCTATTCTGTGATATTCCATAAAGACGTGGGCACAGCCTCTGTGTGTGTGATGGAGACAGTACCCCGACTGTCCTCTGAGGTCTGGCTGTCCTTATGGTTCACTGGGACTTTGGCATAGTCTGTGTGTGTGATGTGGACTGTGCCCCTCCCTTTCTAGGTGGTGGCATTCTGGTAATTGAAAGCCTCCTGGATGAAGACAGGCGGGGCCCTCTGCTCACGCAGCTCTACTCTCTGAATATGCTTGTGCAGACAGAAGGGCAGGAGAGGACCCCCACCCACTACCACATGCTCCTCTCCTCTGCTGGCTTCAGAGACTTCCAGTTTAAGAAAACAGGAGCCATTTACGATGCCATTTTAGTCAGGAAATAACTTTTTCTTGTGATCTGGAACTACTGTCAAAGCACGCAAGACATAATAATAAAGAGATGTATCTCGAGTGGCTTCTTGTTCTTGGTGTTCACATGATAAGTGACTGGAGGTTTCTATGGACAGGGTTGGACTGCCTCTACTTTGTAGATTATTTCCCGGGCTTTACTGAGGACCACACTGATGGGGGTGGGAGAGCTCAGCTTTGACATTGACTGTAGGCAATGTTTGGGTCCTCTTCATGCTTTAAGGTGGGGCTGCAGTGTTCACCTTGAGGGGTGTCTGTTAGAAGCTTCATCCTGAACAGAACTTTGGCACCAGTGATGGATGTAGCAACAATGGGTGTCTATGAAATATGAGGTTCTTCTTTCAGGCTGCCTTGCACAGCTCTGTGATGTATGAGTGATGCCATTTCAACAGTGAGAAGTGTTCAACAGTGAGACAAGCTTTCTGTCTCTCTCTCTTTCTGCCTCAGACAGTCCTGTGTGTCTCTCCTGTATGGATCTGTACTCAAATCTTTCCATGTAGCCGCCATGAGAACACAGGCATTTGCCGTCAGATTAGATCACGCCCCATCTGTGGATACGGAGAAATCAGCAGAAGATGTTACAGAGGAGGAAAAGATTTCCCTCCTACCAATCTCGTACCCATCTCTCCCTGGGCCTCTCCCATGATGTCAACAAGGTTTTCTACTTCTTGTTTTCCTCCAGTGTACGTTTTAGATGATTTTGGTACTTTCTTTACTCTCAGTCTAAACACTTTTTTTTTTTTTCCAACTAAAAAGATGAGAAAACAAAACAAATGGAATAATCGTCAAAGGAAGTTGTTGTGGGTTGAATTCTGTCCCCCAAAAGATCTGTCCAGGCTGTGGCTCCTGGAACCTGTGAATGGGATCTTATTTAGAAGTAAGATCGCCCGGGCACGGTGGCTCATGCCTGTAATCCCAGCACTTCGGGAGGCCCAGGAGGGCAGATCACCTGAAGCTGGGAGTTCGAGACCAGACTGATCAACATGGAGAAACCCCATCTCTACTAAAAATATAAAATTAACTGGGCGTGGTGGCACATGC